AGAAGCTGACGTAGACCGCAGCAGTGATGTTATATGTATCTTATTGCGGGGTACAAATTTCTGAAACATTGGTGCCTGAACGGTCCAATTTGTCGCTCCCTCACACAAGCTTACGAAGGGTCTAGAAAAAGTCAGAGACGCACAGTACCTGGTGCCGAAAGAAGCCAGCAGTCGTCGGCACCTGCGAATGACGTGCTAGTTTTGCATTCACACGGGCGAGAAGAGATGTTGACATGCACGTCCGAGCCGGCGACCACCAAATAGCGGCGCTTGTAGCAAAAAGCAATAGAAGTGCAATGGAACAGAGAGCATCCGTTGGTTCTAAAGTTAACGGCCGTCACCTGCGCGAAACACGACGGCACGGCGCCGGAGCGCAACCCCCGAGAGACACTACCACAACGCGAATCGCGATCGCCGAACAGCAGGCGGCGAATCCCGTCATAAAACTAGCCACCACTGATTACGGAAGCCGGGCAGTATTTACTGACGGGTCACAACGTAAAAAACACGAAGAAAACAAACCTGAGAAGGTCATCACTGGGGCAGCCTGCTCAGTCACGTACACCCTTGAAGGAGGCGGCCGGAAAACCATTGAGAAAAAGATCGGATGCGGCCAAGTCACACCTTTCGATGCGGAAATGCAAGCCCTTTGGATGGGCATTAACACGGCCTGCAATGCATCAGGCAAACACAAATTACTATACCTGTTCGCAGACAATAAAGGAGTGCTACAACGCATCCTTAACCCTAGGATTGGTCCCTCACAAAATTGCTCCCTCCTGGTCAGCGAACACATAAGGCGTTGGCTGGAGGAATACCCAGAACAAACCATACACATGTCATAGTGTCCCAGCCATGTTAATGTGCCTCTAAACGAGCGAGTCGATGCCCTCGCCAAAGAAGGATCTGAACTCACACAACCAGCGATTAGATCTCATGCTTACATCAAACAAAAGATTACAGAGAATGAAGTTTATGTATGGCGACAAAAGATTAAGGAGTCCCCTAAATATAGAGGACGCCAACTAATAGCAGGAGATCACCATGACCACCTGCAACAAATTAAACACACATCCTCGAATTGGTTCATTGCCCACAGTGGGGGAAAGAACTGAGAAATGGGCAGACTTACGAGATTAATGTCTGGACACACACCGATAGGAGTGTTCTGACAACGATTTAACATAGATGGACCCACCACGTGCTGGTATTGCCACCATGAACTAGGTCAGACAACAATAGAAACAAGGGATCACATGATGTACATGTGCCCAGGCTGGAGCTGTTTATACAACTTCAAAGAAATGCATGTCGCAGGACACCTGTTATATGACAAAAATAAAATAGGACATCACCTCAAAACTGACACAGAAGTATGTGAAATGCATCACGCATACTGGGAATTACAAAACGAGCTGGATAAAGTCAATTAACTGACTGAATACAGCCAAGATATTAACTACAGAAAGAGAATACTAGGTACCAAGTGGGAAGACATCTACCACTTCGTGCGAGCAAACTCCATGGCAGGTACCTTTGAATGGTCCGACCTCATTGACAAAGCGTTCGATGACGCCAACAAAGGACGTGACTATACTACCTCAGTCCATATATGGAAAGCTTTTATGCTGTTGTAGTATCTGAGGCGCTGGATGCACATCAGCTGCGCTGACAGAGATACCAACATGACATGCTTAGGCCGTCATGCCCAATATAGATCTGTTATGCCCGTTTTAGATATGACCTGCGCAGAGCACTCTCGGCTCTGTGCCCCGTTATGTTTCCTTGTAGTCTCAGCTTCCTAAGGTACATTTTATTGGTCTGACCAGATTAGAAAGTAGATAACCTATATAAGAACATGTAGTATTATTCTAGGAATTTATCCTTGATTACTCGTGAATCCCCCGCCTGCGCGAAGTCTTTCACAACAGGTTATAAGCCCCATGCTCTAATCATTGGTCACCGACATCACCTGCAGGGTCAACGCGACCCTTTCCCACTGTTGATCAAACCTTGATCAACCCTGTGATACCACGTTCAGAACGAACTCTATCTAGGTGCTGCCATAGACTGTTGTTCTCGAGAGTATGAACGGTTCCCTGAAGATCGAAGCCCTGAAGGGCACGGAGAACTACTTTTCCTGGAACATTCAAATCCAAGATGTTCTCACACTTGCTTCGCTGTTAAAATATCCCAAGGGTACAAAGACCCTACCTGCTGATGCGGCTCTGGCAGCTGATTGGCAGATGAAAGACCGGAAGGCATTAAGTGCCATCCACCTCCGGTGCGCCCCTGCCGTCATCATTCACATCGTCGACTGTACCACCTCGAAGGACACATAGGACATGCTCACGAATCTGTTTGCCAACTCCGGTATGATGTCGAGGGTCACGGTGATGAGAAGACTGCAGAAGACGCAGATAGGGGAGGAGGCGAATATGGCATCAGAGATTCGCCAAATGAAGCAATACAGGTCCCAGAATAGTCAGATGGGAGGCACGATGAGTGATCTGGAATTTGCTCAGAATATTCTAGCCGTGCTTTCCCAATCCTGGGACCCCCTCGTTAACTCCACCCCTATCACAGCTACCACAGCTGAGGTCACGGAATGTATTCTATCTGAAGAAGCCCATCGCGCTGAGCGCACAGCATCAACTACAACTTCTACAGCCCTTATCGCGAAGGGCACCGCCAAGCTGAAGCAGAAATCAAAGTTCCGGAAGAGCATCATGTGTCACAACTGTCAGAGAGAAAGACACATCAAGGCTGAATGCCGATCAGCCAAGACCCAGACTTTTGGTAACAACGGCAAGTCTAGCACATCGAATGCGCATGTGATCGAACTCATGGACAAATCCGACTCATACGCCTTTGCATCACGTGAAAGCACACCCGCTTTTGTTGCCAAAGGTGAGACCTGGCTTGGGGACACCGCTGCCGAGCATCATATCATATGTGATCGCACAGCGCTCGCAACTTACGTTGTAACACCAGGCAGCACCATCACAGGTGTTGGCGGCGCTTGTGCCGCATCGGGCCGCGGTGATGTGTGCGTATTAATCGCCACTAAGGCCGAGACCGTGCCTGTCACTTTGAAAAATGTCCTGCACGCGCCGTCTATGCACTATAATTTGTTGTCGCTGGGTCGCATGACCAGCGCTGGCATCAAATTTATTGGTGAAGAGGACAGACTGTCTCTAGTTGACAGTACCCAAATCATCGGTACTGGGCGGAAGGTCAGTGATCAGCTGTATCATATGGATTTGAGAATCCGCCGCCTGGCACTGTCCCCCACGACCTCTGTGTCACAAGCACTCGCAGTGCGCACCACTTGTACTTGGTACGAGTGGCATTGCGCACTGGGTCACATTAACTGAGGCCAGCTGCAAGAGATGCAGAGACTGGGCCTGGTTGATGGGATGGCAGTTGACACCGCATTAGACCCTGAATTTGAATGCGAGACATGCATTCAGGCAAAGCACGTGTGCGCTCCATTCCCCAAAATTGCCACTACCCGCATTCATCAGCTTGGCGATCTAATCTTCTCTGATATCTGGGGCCCTGCGCAAATTGCATCACTACAGGGCAACCTTTATCTTATCAGTTTCACTGATGCTGCCTCCCGGTATGTGATGATCGCATTTATGAAGACACGCGACGCCACCCTTGATCGTTTCAAGAAATTCGAGCAACTTCTTGAGACACAGCGCTCCCGGCGCATCAAAACCATACATGTGGACAATGCCAAGGAGTACACGGAAGGCCAATTCAAGGCCTATCTAGAATCTCGCGGCATCATCTGTCGCACCATGGCACCCTACTTGCCTCTGCAGAATGGCGTTGCTGAATGTCTGAACTGCACGCTTGCTGAACACACGCGCGCGATGCTTATCGTGCACGAATCTCCTAAGTTCTTGTGGCAGGAAGCTTTCGCTTACACCTGTTATCTTAAGAACCGGTCCCCGACCCAATCACTCCAAGGTGTAACGGCATACAAGCTATTTTGGGACAAGCGTCCCGATCTCCAGAATGCTCAGGAGTTTGGTATACCTTGCTGGGTGCTCGTCCCAGACAACAGGCGCACTGGGAAACTTGAAGCCAAGTCTGAGAAATACCACTTCACTGGAATCAGCAATAATAGCACAGGTTGGCACTATTATACTCCAGGTATGTGTCAAATTTTGGTCTCGCGCAATGTAATCTTTCAGCGGCAGCGTACGGCACCTATTCCCCTCATTGACGGAAGCTCCACGCTTGAGGGAGAGAGTTCTACTAGTACACCTACATCAGTTTCTACCAAGCCCGAAGCTCCTGCCATCACCAAAATGTCACCGCAGACCCAGACACCTGCAAAATCACTCCAGGAACCAGCCTCTGTGCCGGCGCCCGTCCGTGCATCAACCTGTGCCACAAAGCGCATCAATTACCGGCAACTTCATGAGACCGGTAAACAAGTCCCTGCTGATCTGTCTCCTACCGCCCAGGCACACATGGCCTTCGCTGCCACCAATTTTGACAATCCGTGGAATATTGAGGAGGTGCGGCAGCGGGAGAACTGGCCGCAATGGGATGCGGCCATGGATGTGGAGATGACACAGCTCAAGGCCCGAGGGTCTTGGGAGCTGGGAGACTTGCCAGAGGGACGAAAGGTGGTCGGATGCCACTGAGTGTATGCGATCAAGCGCGACACTGACGGCTCGATCATCAAATACAAGGCGCGTCTTGTTGCGCAAGGCTACTCACAAATCCCTGGACAGGACTATTTCATGACCTATGCACCGGTTGTGCGACTTGAGTCTTATCGCGTTTGCGCCGCTATCATCACTGTCTCTGATCTGGACGATGACATCATAGACTACGAAGGCGCCTACCTCAACGGCACACTCGAGGAACCCATCTACATGTGCCAAGCGCCCAGCTACGATGACAGCTCCGGGCACATCTACGTCATGATCAAAGCGATTTACGATCTGAAACAGGCCGGCTGCGTCTGGAATGATTTGCTAAATCATGTCTTCATTGCCCTCCTGGGCTTCACGCGCTCAACTGCAAACCCATGTGTATACTACAAACTTGCTACGTCGCTAACAATGGCATTACTCCATGTAGACAACATCACACTGTACAGAAAGCGCAAGGCACTCAACAATCTCAAAGCCAAGATTGCCAAGCATTTCTCCATCACCTGCTTGGGAGGTCTCAGAACCTCTGTCAGTCTTCAGATTGATCGCAACTGCGCTGCCCGCACTTTCACCCTCCATCAGACATGCTATGTCCAGACCATTCTCGAACGTTTCAGGATGCAGGACTCCAATTCCGTCGCCACACCACTTGACCCAAATGTCAAGCTCGCGCCACTCTCTGGCAGCGTGGCGCCCGTTAATGCGCCCTATGCCACCACCATCGGCTCCTTTATGTACGCTGCTGTTGGCACCTGTCCGGACATCACATTCTCCATCCAGACGCTATTCTAATTCACCACGCGCCCCTCTCCCACGCATTGGACAGCTGTCAAGCATGTCCTCTGCTATCTCAAGGGCACTGCCACTCTCGGTCTCACTTACGGTCCCGACATCAAGGGTCTGATCAGGTACTCGGATGCTGATTGGGCCCAGTCCCTCGCTGACCGCCGCTCCATCTCCGGCTATGCTTTCCAGCTCGCCAGCGGCATCGTCAGCTGGAGCTCGAAGAAGCAGACCACCATCGCCCTTTCCATGATGGAAGCCGAGTACATCGCTTTGAGGCGATGGACCAGGTTTGATTAATCATGTGATAGTAACTACTACGGTGTGCGATGTATTACCTACTAGTAACCGAGCTAGCAACTGCGTAGGGCCTGTAAAGCCTCTCCGGCACCTCTTGGCATGCTATATATGGTGCTTCCATCAACTGAGCTTGAAAATAGGCTGCATATGTAATATACTGCTTAATTGAAAAGATGACTAAGCTAAAACATCATCCCAATATGGTAAAGCATCTCAAAACATATCATATGTTTTGAACATACCACATGTTGAATGTTTTTGCATCATGTCAAGGAGAAAATATGTACAAACATATGAAATGTTTTGAACATACCACATATTGAATGTTTTTGCATCATGTCATGGAGAACACATGTACAAACAAGTTCTTCATTAGTAAGCAGCTCAGCAAAGCAGTATTTGGGCTGTTATTCACAAAAAACTCGCCAGGAGCTAGCAAGTTTTTGGATATATATGGTAGTGCTCCTGGATTTGAAATAAGCGCCAGAGCGCGGGAAACCAGCTTTGCAAGCTATTACACCTGTTCCCCTTCCTTCCCCCCTCATAGAATTGTCAGGGCAGGCATTAGAATAGGTTCTAGTATACTTGTGTGGTGTATATCTTAACCCTCATGTCTTCCTGTGGTGTATACATTATAATAGGTAATAAATAAGCTTTAAAGTGAAAAAGGGCACCAGAAACAAATGGTCCTGTACCTTGTATAGAGCTTGGAAGAAAGTGAGATGGCTCTAGACATATCTATACATGTTATGCAAGCATGGGGAAGCATTATAGAGGCCAGGATAACATGCATAGATGCAGACAGGAGGTCAGAACTCTTATTGCACTCATGATAGCTTGGCCACTGTTCTCAGCCTTTGGTAATGAATGTAGCTAGGTACAAATGGTTGTGCGAATGCCCTAGCACTAGTAAATAATATATGCAGCTCTGTGGAGCCTTATCACACTGGGAAAGGGCTAACCTACACTCAACAACATGGGTATGCAAACAGGGCTTAAAAACACCACATATGCAGATGTACAGAAGCCTACAGGCAGAGATAAGCTAAATGCAGCTACATACATAGTATTCTGACATATTCTGACCCTCCCAGGTGGTGATCCCCTTCCCACCTATGCTGTAGGAGCCAGGCACACACCTGTGCACAGATGGTGGTTTTGAACTGGTCAGAACTTCATCAAGGTGTCACTCCGGGGTTAACTGATGCACTGCTCCACCAATACATGTTCCCTGGACCTAGAAAGTTGTATACCCCCGTTTTGATAGGCTGGGAATCGATTGGAAACGGTCCGCTCGTCCGATTCTAAGTGGTTGAGCCAGTAGAAGGTGTTTTCGACGAGATCAGAGAATAGGCGCCCATAGAAAACACTAAGATCTGCTTAATCGGACGGCTTCCAAGGCCTGGGATCGAAAATAAATTATAGCCGTCCTATCCTGGGCTAAAAGCGACACCTTCCAGCATATGAAAACATCTGATATGTGTCATTTTATTTGCCAAGCCTCGCAGGCTCTACAGAGAGTTTGTGGATGCCTCAGGCTCCCCACACCCTTGGAAAGGATTCTAGTGCCATCTATCATGATTGTATAACATTAGAAGAGCTGTAGGAGCTTTGCAAAGGGTTTCCTGCTACTTTCAGGCCCAAAGAAATCGATTTTTAATCGAAACAAAGTATAGTATATTATACATCAGTTATATTCACTCTAAACTGCACATAACTACTCTACATAGGTACAGGTATATATGCCAGAAGGTTTGGAGTTCATTGGACAAAGGGAAGGGGAGGAATTGAGCCAAGAATGGCCCCCAAAAGCGAAATTGATGTAGGGAGCCAGATAGCCGGGTAGCAGCTTGGTGGCACTTGATGGAGCTGATGGGGCTTAAGTCCGCGCTATATCCGCAAAAACTCGACTCTCGGCGAGTATTTTGTGAATAGCGGGCTCAATATTGGTTTCTGACATATGTTTAGTATAGCAAATATGTTCAAACATATGTTCTCCACCTTCCCATGTCATGAAACAAAAACAAGCGCCCAAAGCGGTATGTTATGGCATGTCTCCCAAATGTGGTCTATATTTCAATCCCAGTTAGTGTTGCCACGGCTTGACTGCTTAGCCGCTAGTCGTTGCAGTCAAGCCATGTGGCAGCCAAGCCAAGTTGCTGATTGGCTCTTGGCTGTTACGCGGCTTAACTGCGGCTTGGCACGACTCGGCAGTGGCTTGCAGTCAGGTCCAGTTGTCCCAAAAAGGCAAACGCCACGTCACCTTGCTTGCCACTATGCCTCCTCGCAACCATGGAAAGAAGAGAGCTGCCGAGACCCCTCAGAAGACATCTAAGAGGCAAAAGGTGGCCTCTAAGCATGTTGAGTTTGACAATGGAGCTGTTATGACCCAGTTTAGGCTGTCTGGTGCGCTTTTTTTGAGCTTTTGTGCAGTTTGATGTTGTCTGCTGATAACATCTTGAATTCTGTAGGTGAATTCTCATCTGAGGATGCTGTCCAAGGTTCCCCAGCAAAGAAGAGAGGTGGTAGAAAAGGTCCAGGAGTTCAGGATGTTGCTGAAGGAGAGGTGCTCATGGCATTTGCGTCGCCCCGGAGAGGTTGTGCCAATCACCAGCACGATCCAAGTGGGGAGAGCTCGATAGACAAGTGCGTGGTGACCAATACTGCAAATTGCTATGCTCTAATGTTTGGATCTTTGTAGATTTGTTCCAGTTGCTGATAGTTGTGAATACATCAACATTGATATTGCGGACGACTCTGAAGACTCGCCTACTAGTCCAACGCCAGCTGCAGGCTCTTCACGTGATCTCCTGCCTGCTCCTGCCATCCCAACTCGCAAGCCAGCAGGCCCTCCCAATTCACCTGTTGCTGGTCAGCATCAGAAATCGCCTCATGGGCCTGCAGGCAACAGACAAGGCAAGCAAGCTAAGGATGTCTGGCCCTTTATTGAGACAGATGAGAATGGACGCAAGAAATGCAAGTTTTGCTTGTATGAATTTCTTTCAGCTATTTCTTTGCACTTATTTCTAAAAAAAACTCGCCAGGTTTATGCATGAACAGAATCCTCATCACCATGTGTCCACCTGGACTACTGCAGGCACAGACAACCCCGAAAGCACTTCCAAGATGCTCATCTTGACGAGTGGGTGGAGGCGTGCGATAAGGCGCAAGTCAAAATCACAGCGAAGTGTGCTACGGCACAAGTTGAAGCCTGGAGGCGACGTCAACGTGGACAACTAGATGTTGCACAAGCAGATAACAGCCGGCCACAGTTCACCAAGGAGCTATTTGTGGATTACATTACTGAGTGGATTGTTGCTGACGATCAGGTGTGCTTTAAATTTACATTTTATTGTGCTTTAAATCTGAATAAATATTTGCAGCCTTTACGCGTCATTGAAAATCCACAGCTTCGCAATATCTTTCTTTTGCTTCGTTCTGAGCTGCATGAGAAAGATATTCCTGGGCGGACCACTATCCGAACACGAGTTGGTGAGGTTTTTGAAGAGTATCTCAAGGAGCTTAGCCAGGATATGAAGGTAAGTGGCGAAAAAATTACAAAAAAATTCTGCTCTAATTCCTAATTATAGAATGCAGTTGGCAGCATATCCTTCACAATGGATATATGGACTGACCCATTCTTATCGCCGTACATGGCGGTTACTGCACATTGGCTGCAGCTTGTTCTTGAAGATCGTGGTAACGGACTTCAGCCGCAGCTTCAACTTC